GTTACAAAGGATTCTAACTCAGATATCCCCAGTGGAAGCCTAGTGCTATTAACTGCTTGACCATGCCCCTGTTCCTTCTGTGAAGCTACTTAGCTTAGACGTGTACATATGTGTGCAATAGCCAAACTTGTTGCTGGAAATGTTAAATTACAGTTCCATGCAAAGATTTTGTCATAAACTAAGTGATGGCTACTGCCATTAAGCTTAAGGATTACATAATGTACAAGTATAACAAAGAATTAAAAGGGGGGGGGGGGGGAGTTCAGTGAAAAAGAGAAAAGTGAAAATAGGGGGTGCTGCCCTTCTGCAGTGCCTATGCAGGAGCTACCACTGGTTAATAATAAGTGCTTACATGATAGCTGCAATCTGTGGAAGGAAGTTCACAACTTCAAACAAAAAAACAAACAAAAAATTAACAAATCCGACCAGAAATCTGTTTTAATAAAGATGTTTCCTTAACAGAAATTATCACACAAAGATAACTGGTTACTTGGAAAGGATCAGAAGAAGATATCCGCATTCCTGTGGACAAGCTATGACAAGGAGAAAGTGGAGAGTGTCATGACAACTGGAGAGATGGGGGTGGGAGTTTGACAGGATTCAAACCTGGGTCTCCCGCATGATAGCTTAGCTTGCATTTCAACCGTTCAGCCAGCCGCTCTTATTAGGAGACTCTTCAGTGCACTATAAGTTGTAGTGAGTATATGTTAAAACTTTAAACTAATAACTGTTTTGGATAGAACAAGCTATTACTAGCTAGTACACTGTCTAGTACTGAAAAAATTAAGAACTATAAAGAGCCAATCCTCAAGTATGGAAGAGAATCCTGGACAGGTAGTTGATTGGTGAAAAATATTATGTAAGCTGCAGATACTTATCTTTTACAAGAATCATGACAACACCATGGACAGATAAGAAACATAATGAGGATGCTTTGAAAGTAATTATTGAGTTGCGTTGAGTTGAGTCGACTCAACTCAATACTTTCAGTTATTGAAAGTAATTATTTTGAGAAGACAACTGATCACCCACATCAGAAAAAGGCATAGGCTATTTGGGCATGTCATTAGAAAGAAGAAGAAAACAATAGTGTGTTGTGACAACAGGAAAATTTGAGAGGTAGATGGAGACACAGAGACAAAGTATAAGACAGTCTAGCATTCAAGAACACCTGTAAAAGAAATTACTTACAGTACTCAAGACATAATGATGCAGACAGACATGATAACAAACACATAAGTGCATGAAGATTAGAAAACATAAGTCAATAAATAGCACTAGAAGGTAAGGGTTGTGATGAGAGAGGATTGTCAAAGCTAATCAAAAAATACTTCAAATAAAATAAAGAAGTAGAAAAAGGAACAGCATATGAATGGAAAAATAACAGACAATGTTAAGTAAACTAATACTGAAAATTATTTACATAAATGTTATATCCATTTTTGCTCCTTCCCGGTGACAATTCCAAAAATGCTTGTTGATTGAAAAAAATTAATTAATTTGTTGTTTACGCAAACATTTAAACTACGCATATAATTAGGTTTTGAGAAATAATCCAGTAAAGCAGTAATAATATCCTCAGCTCACGCATTGCCAAGATACACTTTTTGGGAACAGAGAAATGGGAGACAATCTAATTATTGCCAGTGTTGATTTTTCTAACAAAAATGCCAACCCTTTCTTTATTATGTGTAAGGGAATGGAAAAATTTAAAAAAACAGACGGCAGCAACAACACAATACACTAAAAGACAATGTAATAAGTATAATGTGTTTATACCAAATACATGAATCTAGTTTTAGTTACTGAAATAGCTATTTAGGCTTCTACACACAGCGAAGAATGATAAAAGCCACAAAACCTCAGGAACAAACAACAGATACATGAATACCCTGTACAGTAATGTAGTAGAAATGACTGTAACTAATTGATCTACTTGGCAAAGTGGTCAAGCTGTTTGCCTCACGCTCTAAATGTCATAGGTTCCTTTGTGCAGTTCATAAGTGCACATTTGCCAGAGATCCCTGAGGATCATCACAGCTGCAGAGTTTGAACTTTGTGAGATGGTCTAGGCAGGCAGCAAGTTGTTCTGCGGAAAGAAACTGCACTATATGGGATAATCCAGTGCAGTGAGCTCAATCCTTTTGTCCTAAACTCTAACTTTAATTATAACATGCTAGCAAAGACAAGTTTAAGGGGTGACATTTTTCACTAAGCAAATATGAAGAGGAAATCGTACAAAGAAGAATGCTGAACTATACATTAAAATGAGAAGAGAAAAATAATTAACAAGCTACATTTCAGGTAACTTCTTATTCTTGTCTTCAGGCTCACTACCACACACTCACAAATGATATTATTTCATTCACTGTACTTATTTAGTTGAAGTCATTCCTTATAGTTTCCACTTCGGCACACAATGTTCTTCATGATAGCAGATTATTGTGTATACAGTTTAATGTGGTGTCTGAGATTTGGTCTTGATGGACTCAAATCTGAAAAGTGGCTCTATAAGTCAATGGATATCAATCTATCAGGCAGTAATCTAGGGGACAGGGATTTAGGAGGGGGGGGGGGGGGGGGGGGGGGGAAGGGGAGTGGGGGTCAAAGTCTGATATGTGATTGCTCCCAATCACTGCAAATTTGTTCTTAAATTTTTTAATTTTTTTTTACATCTGGTCACAGTATAATAAAAAATCTGGCCTTCTTAGTGATCACTTCCATTGTATGCTTAGCCTCTTCAAACTTAATGAACTCATTATGTTTTCATAGTGGCTATTTCCCCTCTGAAATCTGCTACAAAACCTGTTACTAAAATAATGGGAAATGGCTAGTTCTACTTCTCATTTGTGTTATTTCTTCTCATGTTACTGAAAGACTTATGGTGTGTGTAGTCTAGGGTAGGTCTGGCTGATCATTACTCCAAATTTTCTGTTTGTTATCTAAGAAAGTTGATGTTGTTTCTGTTGTTATTGGCTGCCAAGCTGTTTCAGTTTTCAACAAACACTTTAATCTCTTTACTGTGGCTTTTCTTATCAACTACATTTTCCTATTGTTCTACTTCTTCTATTCTGTTAACATATTTCATAATATTTGTTGTTGCTTTTTATGGTTTTTATGAGTCATCTAGTCATGCAAGCAATTGTGAATACCTCCTTCTCAAGCTAAAATATTCTCAACTATCTCAGTACATCTCTGTTGTCTCTAATCAGTCTTTTTTTTTTTCTTTCGGGGAGGGGGGGGGGGAGTTCACTTATCACATAATGCCCAAAATTTGCATCAGAATAATAGACTAAATCCATAGTTTCAGTGGGTGGTTTTTTTAATGATTGTGATGCTTTTGTTTTTCATGGCATTTCATGAGTTTACTTCTTTTCTCTATCACATCATTCATCCAATGTCATAATGTAGCCTTGACTGCTGAAAAATATGATCACCTTTACTATATGTTCAAGGAGCAGTTACAACACTGGGCTTTCATGTGAGAGACCTGTGTTCAATCCCCAGTAAAGTCATGGAGGTTTTCTGTCAGGGGCAAAAGTAAACATCCTAACCTGCCCAGTCTAAGGCAACAGCACTAGCTATGTGGTCTTAAATCCTCAGGCTCACAACCCCCCCCCCCCCCTCCCCGTCTACGATGCCCTAAACAAAAGTGGTACATACAGACAGTAGTGACAGTAAGTTCAAACTGTGTGGGTTTTCATAAACCATGATACATTCAGTTCTGCTTATGTTGGTAACTCTTTCAGTACCAAGCCACTTAAAGATTTCTCAATTACTTTATGCAAGGTATACATTCCAGAACTCTTCTCCCATTCTTCTGTTACATTAACCCTTTTAACCTCAAATGTTACTTATAATTTCAACTTGTCTGTCACTACGCTACCACAGTTACCCATTCTGTTTCAAATTAAATGGACAACAAAAAAGTAGAATGAAATTTGCAGATGACCAGACCCTATAAGTAAGAATAAACAAATAAATTACTACAGATATCAACATCATCAAGAGTCGTGCCGGTAAGTTGTCTTCAAGCCCACTTTCTCAACATCTAGGTAATTTTTTTTTTTTTTTTTTGGCTGCCCAAGGAATTCTAAGAATTCTATAAAACCACACTTCCGAGGCCTTAAAAAATTACCCTCTTCCCCCTACACACAAACTCATGCACATGCGTGAGCGCACACACACACATACACACAGAAAAAGTTCATAATTTATGAATGAAGATGCCCAGTGTAGACATAAATTATAACGAAAATCACAATAGCGAAGAGAGTTTTTGAAGTAAAACAAAGCATTTCAATTTATCAAAACACACAACTTGATGCCCATTACAAAAATTCATCTATGAACATCTGGCCGGCATAAGGCTGACCACATTACCCACTAAATGCCAACTGATCTGTCAAATATAGGTCTAGCCTTATATGCCCAATATGCCTGAAGGTATAGAAAAGGGTCCTTTACTGTTTCTATGTTCATCTGGCCAGTCACTTTAGGTCATAAAGAAACATCAGAGTACAGTGGTGTAAAATATTGGACACCATGGAAGACTAAGAATAATTATAAAACAATGGCATAGATTTATCCATGCATGTATAACAGTATTCAAGAGTTATATAAGATATACTGAATGTACAATGACAACCATTCCTACAGCTGAAATACTCAATGACTTCAAACTCTCTGGGTAACTCTTTCAGTACCAGGGGTTTAGAATCAGAGGCCCAAGGGGTATTAAAGAGAGAAGTAAAAGTGGTTTATCTTGCATTCACTGTGCTTCTAGGCAGGAATGTATAATGTGTTCAATGGGACTGAAAGAGTTAAGCCAGACTAATATGTGCACAGCATTAATGGAAAGGAATGACAGCATAATAGGCAGCTAACCATCTTACCGCATAAAGTCATGACCCTCTTTTACCGCAGCATCTTTACCACTACCCAAGCAGAAGCAGATTTCTTATAAGACATCACAGATTAAGTGACTTACCCGTGCTGACTGAATATGGATGGCCACAGAAAAAGTATGTTCTAGTGCACACAAGTGGGTGGTGAGGGGAGACAACTTGACATATCTGCAGACAGGTATAATACATTTTGTTCTTTAATGTGATAATTAACATCTGCAATTTGGGATTGAAGATTTAAAAAACTTCAACAAAGTACTGAAAAACATACTGGTTAGTAGAATTCCTGTTTGGTTTATCACTGGCAGCTAATAAAGAAGCTATTGTTAACAGTGTTTGGAACATAACCTGAGATTTCAAAACCAATTTGTTAGTACCTCATTCTCAAGTGTAAAAGTGTATTCATATTCACACAGGACTACATGTTACACCTGGTTATGAATGTTGTACCTAGTCATCCCCTTGTGGGATGTAATTTGTCGTTATTTAAAGCCACACCCTGGCCCTTGCCAGGGGCCTCAATATAGCCCAGCCATGAATATGGTCTAATGGCTGAATGTGGTTTCCGGGACCTCTTCACAGGTGATCCTCATCTACATGGTGGCACTTTGTATCATCAGGTGTTTATTGCTTGTGTGATGTCATAGTTGGGTAAAATGTACAACTACTATGTTACACCAGGCTGCAGTAGCCATTACGGCCGCTCTTATGAAAATTTTTCTAAGGTCAAACAGGGTATCTGGGATTTTTTGGGGAGGCTTTTTGACCAGACTGAGAGTTTTTTAATTTCAGGACAAAGTGGAAATCTTTAGGCAGAGGAAATAAACTGATCAACTGAACATCAAGAAAAACATTTAGAAAAAAAAAATAAAAGCAACATAAACTTTTAACAAAACAATGTAATTACATTGCCCCTGGAGTCAGTGATTATAGTTTTCCACATTTTCTAAATACATTTCAATCACCTAGTCTTGAAAGACTGCGTAATTTATTTTTTTATTCCATTCTATGATATTCTAAGTTTTTGCTGCAGAAACCATATTTTACTACCATTTTATACATATTTGACTTTAAAGAGTCTCAGCGCAGTGCATAAACTCTGTTGCACTGGCGAGGATCCTGAAATTGGGTCGATTTTTAACTCTACTATTTTCAATTTCCTGCTGCCAATGGGCTTTTTACGTGCACAAGAATACAGTGGCGTCCGATCTTACTACCCAGAGGAAATTACTAGAAGTCCAAGTGAAAAAATACCAGCCTTCACCGGGGCTTGAATCCGGGACCTCCAGTACTTAAGGCAGACATGATACCTTGAGACCACTCAGTCCCTTATCTGCCTTGTAAAACTATAAACCACCAATAAATGCTTGGACTGGCGTGTGATATCTTGTAAAGCATATTCAACTAACCTTTTTTATCACATACGTGTACATCACATTCTTAAACTTACCACTTGACTTGCATGTTCAGAGTTCAAGGCCAAGTCTGACAACTCAACATTCTTTCCCTGAAAAACTGTTTGTAGCTTTGCTTTCTCACTGTCTGGTCCAAATACAACAAAAGGCACCATTCCCATGCTGCATGGAATACAGAAAATATATTAGTCTAATAATGCTCGATAAAATGTTAAAGATAGACAGTAGTTCTGAAACATAAAAATCTGTTGCTGTGTGGGATGCAGTTTTTGTTATTTTAAAGTCCCACCACAGCCATCATCGGAGGCCCTAAATATCCTGTGGGTTGAATAGGGTTTCTGGGACTTGCATCTAGATGATTCTCATCCTAGTGGTGGCACTTTGTATTACCGGTTGTTTTTCACTTGTCGTGCAGTCCTAGTCAGTTAGTCAGTCAGTCAGACACATACAAACCAACATTTGAGTATGGCTGAAACAGAAATTTTGCTTCTGAATATCTATTAAGATATACTGGGCAAAAATGTACCCCCCAAAAAAAATACAATCTTTATATTCTATATTATTCTAGAAAAAATGAAACTGTATCAGATTAGATATATTTGTTACAACTATAGTTATTTATTATAATTTCCGTTTAGACTCAAGGTAGTATAAGTGCAGTTAATAATTACATGCTGAATATATTACAAGAATGTGGATATAATATTCAAAACTGATATATACCCACCTTCTTTTATGTCCAACCAGTCCATGGTTAAAATAGCTCATCAGCGGCTATAAAATAACACAGAGATTGTACACATGATAAATTATTTTACTGTATGCAAATGAAACAGATATAAGATCTACAGTGTTATGTCATATTATAAAGGACACTTTTTCACAGCTTGAAGTGAAATGGTCGTATAGTCACAAGAATTTCCCAAAAGCTGGGAAAGGGGGGGAGAGAGAAGCAAGTGGTAATATAAACAATACGTGGGAAATCCCTTCTATCCATCATTGGCAGCTGACGGTGGACCTTAAGGGTTATGATGTCTGCCCTGACATAATTCAAAAGATTCAACTTAGACCAGACATTGTACTTATTCCTTAAATGCTCCTCAGGTCATACGGATTGAGCTCACTGTCAAATATGAGCTTCTTCTCCTTCTTCTTTCGTTCGCCTGAAATAAGTTGTCTATATTAGCAATTTTGTCTCTTGTATAAATTTCACTGTCGTTCATTCAGAGGTCCATAGAGTTTACGTTCCACTGTTGTTCTTTCTGGCCAAAAGGTTTGCCTTATTGTGTCAAATTCGGTGTGTGGTGGACCCTGTTCTTCCCAGCAATCCAGTTGAAGGTTGGGGTCTCAACCCCCAGCGGGAAACTGGATGGGACAACAAACGAGGTAAAGGCAAAAGACGAAGGGATGAGCCTACTCTCCTCGAGTATGATCACAGTCTACCCTAGCAAAAAAAGGTGTTGAAGTCGGAGGCACCCAGCCAGGAGGGGCACCACAGCAATCAGGATTCAACGCATACACCCCATGGAAATATGTCAAATATGAGCAAGGCTTCAAGAACAGCATGTGCACAGAATGAAGGGGTACAGTGACTTGGTCTACAGTCTGAGAATTGAGAAGGGGTACATAGTAAGTCTCTTCACCACAGAGGTGGAAGCAAGAGGGCTAGATTTCAAGTCAGTCTGTGGTGCACCAAAGCACCTAGGGTTATGTGGCTACACGGGCATGCTATCAATTTGTAGTATATGTAACAATGTGTCAGTGTGATCTCAGCAAGCATGCGCAGGTCACGACCAACAGAACATCGACCAAGAAGTGCCTCACAGCTGAAAGTAGCATGTGAAGAATGATGAACCAACCATCCTGTGCAATTATCAGCCACTCTTCCAGGTTTAAACACAACATACTTCCTAGGCCCTTCCTCACAAAATGTATGCTGGCTAGTCTCACCTGTCCCTGCCGGCGCGGAGTGTCACTTGAAGCATCAACTATGAGCTATTCAACTAAGTTTACTCAGGGGCCAAAGTTTTGACAATGGGGATCGTCTCAGGTCAGAACCCAAATCCCAAAATAGAAAGATCATTAAGACAATAATATTTTTTTTAAAAAGGTAAAGTTGGGAGATGTGAACCAGCGTAATTGCACAGTTATAAAGCATAAGTGCTCTGCCACCAATATGGACAGCTGATAAGAAACTGTCTGCCTGTGTCGCCGTCTATACAAAGCCCTGTAGCTGCAGCAAGGATCCTCCATTTAGCCCAGAGTGTTAACTCTGGTACCCATTTCCCAGAGGCTGGGTGAACCCCGCGAACCATCTGGTTTCGAACACCGGCCGTGGACTGCAGCGAGTCACAGCTGGATTTGAAAGCGAGTATCCTATTGACTGCACTAACGTGGCCCCTTATCATTAGGACAATACAACTGGAAATATTATATGGGCCACTTGCTTGGCATCTGTGGGCCCCCAGTAGAATAGCCCTGATCTACAGCAACTAGAAGAGAAAGGCCACGGCCCAACCCAGCATAGCAGTGCACCTAAAGAGAACTGGCTTTCCATGGGCACCGAATTTTAACACGGCCAGTGTGTCCCAAAAGGTGGCAAACAGTGATATGATGGTGATAAAGACTAGATGACAGAAGGAATGGGCTGGATTGTCCCAGCCAAGGGGGAGGGAACTGAATGCTCAAGATGCAAAGGATATGCATGGATCACTTTCTGATGGTAATTTTTTTCTTGGAAAGCAATTTTAATGATGAAAAAAATGAACTGAGTGTCACTAGAGGTAAAGCCATTTTTATTTATTATAGCCAAGATTCAGCTGCACAACAGGAGAATGAAACTCAAGAGATGCAACCATAGAGTGTTAGGAAGGTAAAGAGGCTAAAATGTTTGGTGAATGGGGACTTCTTCTGACAATTGGAAGAGCTCTTTTTGTGCTCACTAATCAGTTACATTTCTGTTAAATAGTAAGTAAAGTAAAGATCCCTTATTACGCCTAAGGCACATAGGGTATATGGACAGAGCGTCCCATAGTTTTACAGACCAATCGGCACTGGATGGGTAATGTGGTCAGCATTACACCAGCCATTTTTACTTCCCCAGGACAGCCATCCTAGTACCCATTTTAGGCTGGGTCGACCTGTGACGCCCCATTCTACGATAAAAATCCACGCAGCCAGCAGTGGGTTTTGATCGCGGTACGTTGGATTACGAGTCGGACTGGCAACGCCTAAGCCATGGACGCCGCATAGTACATTATTATAGACCATTGGTGGACAATATCATGCCAGTTGCCCTTACTTCCAGAAAATTTCCTGGCATGTATTTTATGCTGGAACTCTGGATGATTATTTATTTAAAGAAGAAATTATTTAATATCAATTTCATTTGTAATCTAACGGCATTGAAAGACATACTACATTCTGACTTTCTTTCATTGAACAAATAAGACCTGCTTTTGAGAAACACAAGAAATAAACTTTCAACACAGCAGTCATTTGTAATGACCAAACCTTTTTTAACCCCTATTACAATACAATTGGTATATTTTGTATATAAATTAACTCTTTGAGTCCCAGATAATGCATCATAAGTTCATAGGTTCTTACTTAGAAGCCTAATGAACGCATGATGTGTCGATTTTAGTGTCACTCAACTACCCATTGGGCCTGTGATGCTAAACCCCCTGGGACTCAAAGAGTTAAGTTGACTGAACTGTGGTAAAATGTGAAAATTTCAGTTTAAAAAAAACACAAAGTAAAGGTCAAACTTTTAGTAGTGCTTGCTAACAAGCATAAAATTTAACATTAAACAGAATTCTAATAGAACAGTAAATGCACCTCAGTGTCTCCGAGTTTATTATCTACTAAATTAGTTTTATAGTTCAGTGGGCTGGATCACTTGTCAGGCCGCCATTTTAAAATTACAGTACAAATGGTTATATTGTCTATTGACTAAAATAAATAATACCACACATAACTTTATTTACTGATTTTAATATGTAAAGTAAAATTAAACTTTTCATGCCTTCAGAAGTATTGGGCATATTGGACTAAACCTATACTTTAAAGACAGATCAGCACTCAGTTGGTGATGTGGTCAACATCAAGTCAGCCGCCTTTACTTCCCAGGACTATACCTGGTACCCATTCAAGGTGGGTCGACCTGGGAGCCAAGTTCCTTTCTTTGAAAAGTCCAGGTCCATCAGGACCCAAATCCACAACCTGCATATCCACAGGTGAGTGTCTAGCCGCAAAACTATGGCTGCTCCCTGATCTGAAATTTTTTCTCCAAATAGCAAGTTTTAGTTGTGTCATAGGATGAAGTAATTGTAAACAATCATGAACTATTTGCTGATATAGTAAATTTATTTCTACGTGAAAGCAAATGATAAAAGAAATATGTCTACGAACCTCAGATACTTTTTTGTGATCTATGACAGGTGATGAAGATTCTCTAGGACCAACATAAATAAAATAATTAGATAATCATGATGAGCAACAACTATAAACACAAGAGTGTGAGTAATGTAATTTGGAATACACAGGAATCAACAGACAATTCTAAAACTAAAGAGTTAACTAATCAGGGGTTTCCTTCAAAGTGAGAGTGCATCTGCATGAGAGGCGAACCAACAATCTGTGTACAGATAAGCCAGATCAGAAAAATGGATGTGAATGCAAAACTCAAGTTCTGGAACAAGTCTAAAATCCAGAAGTGGATGAACAACCAGAACTTTCCGCCAGAGTTTACAGCCATTAACTCCAAGAAGAAGAAGATAAACTGTTGGGAGTTGTGGTAGTACAGATGCTTGCTGCCTGACCAGAAAAGACTGAGTTTGAATCTGTTTGAGATAAAGTTTTTATAACTGGCCTTGGCTTCCAGATCAAAACAAATTAAAATTCAGTAGCAGGATATGTCCTGGAAAGTAAAGACTTCTGGCATAGTTTGACCACATCACCTTCTGAGAGCCAACTGGTCTATGAAAAAACGAGTCTTGTGTAATGTGTCTCTATTGTACTAGCTCTCGCTCATACACAAAGGACGGGGGCTGTTGTCTAGTGGTCAAGTTTACAGATAAGATGAGGCAGACTTCTCTTCTCGAAAACTACCTCTGTCTCCAAATGACAGTCGATGAAGGTGACTACTGTTCCATGTTTATTCACAATACCACATACGCAACAAGAATCAGGGTTACAGCCTATCACCTACGCCATTCAGGCAGGGTCCACTTGCTCGCACTTTGCGTATACAGCCATGCCACAGTCAACGCTGACATACAGACGATTGGCACAGTGGGGGTGGTGGGGGCGGAATAGTCCTGGCTTATACCAAATAGAAAAGCACTTGATGATGGTGATATTCCTGCTGTTGTTTTCATTGTCACTGCTGTCATTGTTGGCATCTTCCATCTTTCCATATAAAAGTATTACACTGTGCTATAGTGAGCACTGCAATCCCAACCAATGGTGATGGTGAGTGTGACTAGCAAGATCAGCTCACATTAAGATCAATCTTCCACAATTAGTGCATGAGATTTCAGCACCACTTTTGCCATCACCTGAATCTGACCTGTTTCCTCTCAATGGCTCAGCTCTGAACCTGTCTGATTAGGATAAGATACATATGACACTACTCACAGTATCATCTGCACACACTTCATCATGTTATCCCAGTGCCGCACCATAAGTGGATAATGCTGCAACAACAAAAATACAGTTTTACTTTGTTCAATCATGGAGAAAACTGTTCAGATATTATCAAACAATAATTAGTTGCAGACCCTTTACATGTCTTTGTAAACAACTCTCAGCATTTATAAGCTGTTGTGTAGTTTTACCAGGAAACGTTATACTACATAATTTATCAGTGCTCTCTGAATGGTATGATGCTTATACCATTGTCAAAATCAATGCAAAGCAGTTTGCTACAAGACTGCTGGCAGCCGAGTTTAAACCTTATTACTAAAACATAAAATAACAGTGTCTATTTCCCACCGTATCTGGCTAAATTTAATGATTCCATTTCACTCACTTATTTTTACTCTTTATCATACTTATTAAAATAAATTATTTGTAATTACACTACTACCTTCTTCTTCTTCTTCTTCTGCGTTCGACATCAGTCATGCTAAACACTGAGTACTGTCTGGGTCACAAATAGGACTGTGCGTTTAAGGTTGCCACCGGTCCCCCATAGCTTCTCTTGCAATGTGGCTCCCTTGGGCCAGATCCACAGTCTTTGCTGGGAGAGGTTAGGGCAATGCTGCAGTATGTGCTCAGGGGTCTGTCTTTCTGCTCCACAATCACAGGCAGCAGATTATTTTATGCCTATCCTGTACAGGTGTGCCCGAAGACCACAGTGTCCTGTCTGAAGTCTACAAATTGATGTTTGTTCTTTCCTGTTGAGTTTGTTTATGCTGTCACTCTCTGGTCTGTAATCTCTGTTCTACCTTCTCCACTCCCGCTTGAAAGACTGCTTTAGCGCTGTTTTGGTTTCCTTGTAGCTGTGTGGTGGATGAGGTTGTGGAAGATTACTCACTCCCAGCTTTTGCCAACTCATCTGCTCTCTCATTTCCTTGAATACCACAGTGGGCTGGTATCCACTGCAAGACCAGTTCTGCTTCTTTGGAGAGTAAGCCAATGTTGGTCCTTAGATCTGCAATTAGTTTGTCTTGTGTTTTGCTTGATAGTGCTTGGAGAACAGACAATGAGTCACTAAGTATAATAATTTTGTGCCCTCTGTGTTCTTGAGTGATGAGATGTTGGACTGCAGAAAGGAGGGCAGTTGCCTCAGCTCTGAAGTTAGTGCAGATGTCACCTGCTGGTAGAGAGAGCGTTTCTGCTCTACTGCTAGGGGGTTTAATGTATATTCCACAGCTCCCCTTTCTGACTGCATCTGTAGCAGAGCCGTCGATGAAAACCTGGGTCCAAGTTGTGTTGGAATACTTCTCATCAAGCATAGCAAGAGCCAGGGTTCTCTCTTGTGTCTCTGTCTGGGCATCTTTTGAAGTGATCCCTGGTACCTTTAGGATTATGTTTGCCTTCTCTGGCTTGCTTGTCCATGGTTCTGGCCTTAGTTTTTTGCACAGTGCTACATCTCTTTCAAGCAGATCTCTCTTGAATCTGGTAGCACATGGGAGCTCCCATTAAGCATTGTTTATATAAACAATTTCCAAATGTTATTTCAGCTTCTACTGCAAATTCTAGCAACTGTATTCTTTAACATATGATTCTATTCTATACAGCACCTACACTAAAAGTTTTCTTGAAGCTCCCCCTCAGCTGTCAGTAACTAACTTAACTGCAGTTGTTACTTTAACTCACTCAATTCCAGATGAAACTGTAACTTACTCAGTTCCATTCCTTACTTCAGCTCTTATGCTTGTGCCTTCATTACAAACAGTTTAAGAAGGTCATGGCAGTGAGCAAAGCAATAACATGGCTGAAGACACAGATCTTCACTAATGCATGCTTTCTCAGTGGGTATTCTCAGGAAGACAGAGATGGATGGTGTCTCTGAGTTGGCCAGGGCTGAAACAGATCTGTTTCATTTTCATGCCAGACCATGCAAGCAGGCAAGGAAATTAGCAAGTTGGTAGGGCTGCAGGTAAGGCCGTTGTGGAGGTCAGGCAAGCCATAGACCAGGCTGATATACTGAATGCTTCACGAGAAGTAAGACGTTTGCGAGAACCAAGTGATGACTGTGAATCTGTAACTATGGCCAGCATCTTAAAAGGTGTGTGGCCAGACAAGATGGATACAACTTTCCACAAAAGACAGGCAACATGGCAACATGAGATGCTGATGCTCATAATAGTAGGGATGAAAATGGTGTGGTATTAATGATGATGATGTTGCTGATTTTTATACTGATGATGATAATGATGATAAGAAGAAGGAGGAGAAAGTACACTCAACAGTTTACATGATAAAAACCTCAGTTAAAAGCATCTCTACTGAAACAGGATCCATGCAGTCAACAAGAAGATGAACCTCTTCAGAAACATCAACAGCCTATGAACAAAAATAATGAGCAATTGGTCAATGAGTAACAACTATAGTGGTGTAGTGGTTATAGTTCTCATTTACTAGCACAGTGGTTCAAGTGGTAAATCATGGTAATCTACATCTGCTGGTAAGCATACATGTGGAAGGAGCTAAGTTTGTGTTCAAGGTCAAATATATTTAATGGGTTATGCTATATCCATGTATCTGTATTGGATACAGATTTGCCTTCCCATCATTCATTTTTGTTTTAACTCTGATTAAAAGCATAATTACAGTTAAGTATGTTCTACTGCGTACAGAGGGAAAGCTCTTAGCTGGTTTCACAGACTTGTAGTAGTCTGGCAGTAGTCTTAGTTTCAGCTTCATAGCAAACGGGTCACCCCATCTTTGCTCAGCTCCTGTGCCAACGAAAAATAAACAGAATGTTTATTACAGTCCCTTGTGGAAAGACTGACAGACTGCTGTCTCAGCATATCTAGCATACACTCGCATTAAAGCATACGGTAGCCATCCAAAGTGCTAACACAAACAGTCCGACATTAGAAATACAGTTTATCATTGATGGTAGCAGAAGTCACCAACAGATCAGCAGTTGCCCACACGATCAATTTTAGTCACATACGGGCACCACCAACATTGCACGATAGGCATCGCGCCATTTTCTGAATCTACAATTCACAGCACCACATTAGTCGAAAAAAACCATTCAAAATGAAATCCACAGTGTCACGCCATGCATTCAACTCAGAAGCTGGGTGACGAAACTATATCCAGTCTACAAATGGAGCAAAAATGCATTTGCCAGAAGAAGCAACAAATTTGCCTCAGCTCCGAACAGTGCTCCTGCCTAGCGTCCCCTTGCATGACTTATGAAATACATCACTGCCATCAGTCATAGACAAACCGCAATCACAGGCTTGAGTAGGCCTTGTAGGGGATCTTAGAACTGGTTGCCCCCAAATATTTGGTAGCTAAAAATCATGGATGGAAAAAGCTCCCTTAACAGTCCATCCCAAAATCATGGGATAATGATGTCTACTGAAAACAAAACCTACTGTCTAAAAAAACTGTCTAAAGACACATTAGTTGCAGGTTCTACTGAATGAAAATTCACCATATATTTGTTACTGTGTCCTACTATAAATAAACAGAAGGTGAGCCTTTGAGGCCATTAAATATTATGAATTAATCAAGTAACAGAAAGTGTATTGATCGGCACTCATAGAAAGAAGTAGAAAGATAGAAGAACACACTAGACAACATAAAAATCGAAAGCTATAGTTACCGTGCCGGGAATTGAACCTGTCAGCTCCAGACGGTGTCTGCGCCTTGCCATGAATACAAGTGCACTAAGAACATGGTAAACTAGGCACCCCCCAAAAAAAGGTGTCTTATTGGCCATGTCTATCGTACAACTTGAAATCCACAACTATAGAATACGGACAGAATTCATTTCAACTGTGTCCTACTAGATCAGTCTAATCATTCCTACATGGGGAAAATGTCTTTGAATGCCTCAGTGGATAGTCTTTCACTTTGTCACTTTGTTATCTAAACTGTCGAAGAGAAATTTAGTCAGGATGATCCCAGACTTGTACAATCCAGAAATAAAATTATGTTCAAAACATTGTTTTCCCATACATCAAAGAACAATGAAGCACACACAAAAATCTTTTCTGCAGAATTACAGAAATCACGTTGTCAATTCTAGTCATGCTGTACACCTCACCACAGGAAGTTCAAGACAGTCGTTTTGTTACTATGGAAGTTTGACATTTACAACATGCTCGCTTTCTCTATGTGTGTATGTGTAACAATTACATCACATCTGTGGAATGAACTTTAGATAACTGTATCAGTATGCAAGTCACTGATCCCTATGCAAAATTGGCTATCTGAGAGGAATTTGTTGAAAAACAAGCTACCGATGCCTGAAATATATCATTTCTGATGCCACCTAATCATGAATGGCTTAACATAACATAACCCTTGACCTGTTTGGGTCATGGGGGTGTATCAAGGGAAGCACTAGCATGCAAAACTCACCATCTTTCTCTGTTTTCCGCTTGGTGAAAAAGTGTATGATAACTTAGTCCTATCCATTTCCTGATGTTGCCATTCCAGTTTCTTCTTTGCCCTCCTCTTCTTTCAAAAAGTCCCCAATGTTCCTTGAAGTACAATCTTTGCAATCAAATCATGTCTCAACACTTGCCTGAACCAAGCTACCTTGTGACATTTCACCACTGCCAAAAAAGGCTCCCAAAGTCCTGCAAATCTGTGTATTTTGTCTCTGATATATTGGTTACTTTTGTGTTCTAAATAACTAATTCATAAAATGCATCTATAGCATTTACATTCGAAAGACTGAATCCTCCTTTCGTGGCGCGGTGATTTCGGTCACAGGCATGAGGGGAAGTTAAGTCTGATGTGATGTGTATAAGGAGATATTCCGTACCCCACTCGGGCGCCAGTCCTTCACTGTTCTGGTTTTACGGAACCTCATGCAAGACTCCTGTTGCATGTCCCCTTAGTGCGCCACGGATAATGTCTCAAATGAGCATTAACAGAGTTGGCAGGGGATCTCGGAGCTGGCAGCCCCTAGAGGTGTAGAGTCCTTTCTGGCTCTCACCAGCCCGCCCCCAAATGCATGGGTGAAAAGTAACAAAACTCAAGGACTGCTTGCTAAATGTACCATCAAATGACAACTCTTGGTTAAAATTCGGGAGCAAATGGAAAACTGTGCTGCTGAGACTCAACCCTGACCGAGAGATTTACTCGCAGCCAAGAAGAGTAACATGTCTTGTGGGCGACTTCTCGCAGCAAGATCCCACCTACGTACATCCTCTGTCAATCCTCAGTGTCGTCGTCACCGCGCTGAGGTACACTATGGCAGCAACTATTCATATGCTGGCTTGAAAACAATGTCCGACAAAGTTACACCCCATGGCACACATGCAAACTCAAAGTCCGACGATCATAACTCGTACCGATTAGGAAAAGTCTGAATGTCCGTATCCACTGGTCCAACTCGCCCGAGTGTTGGGACCAAACAGGTGAAGCCACGCCTGACGCATTTTGCTTCCCCATTCTGTCGTGCTAAGGGCACAGCTGAAACAACGTTAAAGGTGTCTAACGTAAGATGAAAAAGAATGTACCTATTTGTGTGGCCACAAACGTCCTAGACCTGCGGGCTGCTCCCCGCTGATCTCCGGAGAGCGCAGCCTTGTAGCGCCGGAAGCTCAATACACGGTTGTGAGGTTAAGCAGTCATGGGCAGGACGTGACGATTCCTTGGGTGAGCCCAGACCCAGAGCATCATGTGTCGGCTCTGCATTTATGGAAGCCTCCTTGGATGGCGGGGAATGCCCATGATCTGCCCCTGCCTTCCCTTGAGGGCTGAAAACTCTACATAGAGCTGCCTTAAGGACGACATGCCGGGGGCCACACTTGTTAAAAGTCAAAGAGGACACCACACAAATAAGGCAACATCTCGACCCACACAAAACAATGGCCACAGTCAACCTAGAAATAGGCTTGACGTCTTCCTCCGAAGTCGAAGTACATCTGCCGGAGAGGCGGGGAACGAGTACTGCAAACAAATAAGCCAGTAAAACGGATGTACACGCAAAACTCAGGTCAAGGTAAAAGCCAAAAGTCCATTTTGGACGAACAACCGTGACTTACCACCGGAATTCACAGCCGGTGAACAAGAAGAAGAAGAAGAAGAATCCTCCTTTCCATTTCCACAGTGAGAATCCAATTCCCACATCCGTATAAGAAAATAGACAGTAACCAGTTATATATATATATATATATATATATATATATATATATATATATATATATATATATATATATATATATATATATGTATATATTAACTTTAAATGTGATGCTGGTTTTGCTCTTTCATATTGTATTTATCTTGGACATCACGGCTGTTGCCATACCAAATCTTGTCTTGATCTCTTTGGTACAGCTACGATTGTTACATATGGTACAGCTACATCTTACTTATGTGGGAGCTGTGGTATTTAAAGGTTTCCACTTCTATTTTTTCCCTTTTATTTGTATGTTGGTTGGTACTTGATTATAGTGGCTATTTACCAGAATCTTGCTTTTTTCAGCATTAATTTCCATGCCATACATACCACAGACTATCTCTAATTTTGTAGTAAGTTCTTGGATTATGCTTGGGAAGGAGCCATAAGATCAATATCATCTGCAAAATGTAAATTACTTAGTGAGTTAGAATTACTTGGGAACTGAAATCACATGAAGAAAATGGTATGTGGGTCATAATGCTTTGGATTCCTTGTTTGTCATCTTTTCCATCATTCCCATGTTTTGATTCTTTTCTACTAATCACATGATTTGTTTCTTGTCTACCATTGGTATTCTGAGTTTTTGCTTCTAAAATTCACAAGTTTTGAACATCTGTGGCAAAATAAAGTAAATTAAACGTGTACACACAGACACACAAAACTGTTGTTTAAAAAATGTATCTGAAAATTCTTTGCAACTCTAGCATTTAACAGACAACAGTGAAAAGGCAACAAAATAAAATATTATAATATCAATGTTAGCTACTACACCTACCTGATGTGCCAAAGTAAAGAAACCACCACTGTAAGTGACAGAAAGAAACAAACATTAAAAGCAAAGAAACCAAGTAATATTATGTTTTTGCAAACATTATACTATCAGTGTCAAATGGACCTTTAGTGAACTAATGACGATATATTTTAAAAGACATTTTATTTCTTCTTCTTCTGGGTTTGCCCTTAAAAGGGCATTTGGTACATTATGTAGTGGTATACAGCTAGGTTGAGATATCATCACTTTCATTCCAACACATTCCATTCTCATCATTCTCATCATGCTTGTTTGAGGTGAGAAGGGGCGGAAATGGGGGGGGGGGGGGGAGCGGGGGGAGTTTATTCTCCCTCTCAAAACGGGCTGGAACCCACACAGGGAATATACTTATAATTATTTATATTATGTATATGACATGTAATGAGGTCATTGGTTTCAATGGTTCCTTGCCAGTACCCTAGTGCTGCCATTGATAGAAACTACTGGCAGTGCATACATTATTTGAGTAGCAAAATTTATGTTGATCAAAGGCGATTCTGCTATCATATCATCATCATCATGTGCCCTACCAACTGGCATAGGCGCTCATGCATATCCACAGATCATGATACTTGGCTGCCTGGAACAGTTCTCTTGATGATATCCCTCCATGCCATCGTTTTAGCCCATCCAGCATCATCTTTCTTGGTCTGCCTCTACCCCTCTTTCCATTGATCTTTCCAGTTGTCACAATGTTTTCCAATTGCTTCTCTTCTCATTATGTGGCCAAAGAAAAGTGTTTGTCTCTTTCTTATTGTTGTATATAGAGATCTACTTTCATTAGCTTCTTTCAAACAATTGTTGTTGGTTACTCTGGCCGCTAATGTATTCGTAACATTCGTCTCAGAAACCACATCTCTGTTGCTTCCAAACTCTTCTTAATTTGTTCAGTGACATTCCAAGATTCGCTGTCATACAGCAGAACAGGTTCTATGTAACATTTTAGCACTCTCTTTTACTGGTGGCAGAGCACTTATGGTTTATAACCGTGTGCAATGATGCTGGTTCACATCTTCTTGAAGTCATTATAATTTGCTGGTGACTAAAAATTATCCTAAATTTGTTGTCAACTAAAGATTATCCTAAATTTGTTGTCAACAAAAGATTATACTGACTTAATTGTCAACAAAAGATTATCCTAAATTTTTTTATCAACCAAAGCTTATCCTAAATTTGTTACCAACAAAAGATTATTCTAAAATTGTTGTCAACAAACAATTGTCCTAAGAATGCTTTCAAATGCTAGTGACAAATAATGATTATAAAGTGTAAATCAAGCGTGTCAAACTGAAGGTCCCCACAGGGCCATATGGGTCACATATGTGTCATCATGAGGGTCCCCACAGGGCCATATGGGTCACATATGTGTCATCATGAGGGTCCCTACAGGGCCATATGGGTCACATATGTGTTGTCATGAGAGTCCTCACAGGGCCATATGGGTCACATATGTGTTGTCATGAGAGTCCTCACAGGGCCATATGGGTCACATATGTGTTGTCATGAGAGTCCTCACAGGGCCATATGGGTCACATATGTGTTGTCATGAGGGTCCCTACAGGGCTATATGGGTCACATATGTGTTGTCATGAGGGTCCCTACAGGGTCATATGGGTCACATATGTGTCATCATGAGGGTCCTCACAGGGCCATATGGGTCACATATGTGTTGTCATGAGAGTCCTCACAGGGCCATATGGGTCACATATGTGTTGTCATGAGAGTCCTCACAGGGCCATATGGGTCACATATGTGTCATCATGAGGGTCCCTACAGGGCCATATGGGTCACATATGTGTTGTCATGAGAGTCCTCACAGGGCCATATGGGTCACATATGTGTTGTCATGAGAGTCCTCACAGGGCCATATGGGTCACATATGTGTCTGCATGAGGGTCCCTACAGGGCTATATGGGTCACATATGTGTCTTCATGAAGGTCCCCACAGGGCCATATGGGTCACATATGTGTCATCATGAGGGTCCTCACAGGGCCATATGGGTCACATATGTGTCATCATGAGGGTCCCTACAGGGCCATATGGGTCACATATGTGTTGTCATGAGAGTCCTCATAGGGCCATATGGGTCACATGTGTCTTCATGAGGGTCCCTACAGGGTCATATGGGTCACATATGTGTTGTCATGAGAGTCCTCACAGGGCCATATGGGTCACATATGTGTTGTCATGAGGGTCCTCACAGGGCCATATGGGTCACATATGTGTTTTCATGAGGGTCCCTACAGGGCTATATGGGTCACATATGTGTCTTCATGAAGGTCCCCACAGGGCCATATGGGTCACATATGTGTCATCATGAGGGTCCTCACAGGGCCATATGGGTCACAATTGTGTCATCATGAGGGTCCCTACAGGGCCATATGGGTCACATATGTGTTGTCATGAGAGTCCTCATAGGGCCATATGGGTCACATATGTGTTTTCATGAGAGTCCTCACAGGGCCATATGGGTCACATATGTGTTGTCATGAGGGTACCTACAGGGCTATATGGGTCACATATGTGTTGTCATGAGGGTCCCTACAGGGTCATATGGGTCACATATGCGTCATCATGAGGGTCCCTACAGGGCCATATGGGTCACATATGTGTCGTCATGAGGGTCCCTACAGGGCCATATGGGTCACATATGTGTCTTCATGAGGGTCCCTACAGGGCTATATGGGTCACATATGTGTTGTCATGAGGGTCCCTACAGGGTCATATGGGTCACATATGTGTTATCATGAGGGTCCTCACAGGGCCATATGGGTCACATATGTGTCTTCATGAGGGTCCCTACAGGGTCATATGGGTCACATATGTGTCATCATGAGGGTCACACACGAAAGTTAATCAGTTATCTAATAAAAGTTATTGCTTGCAAATGGCTCTATGTTTGACATGCTTGCTGTAAATGATTGTTGACGGGAAACAAAAGATGCTTACCCATTAAAATCATCCAAAGCAAATGCTTGAATGATTGGCCATTTCTCAAGTCCCATTACATCAAATTCTATTCTGTGTCCTGAAAGAAAGCAGCATTTAAAAATTAACAACAATCAGTAGTAATCATAACTACAAATACATCATATCTGATTTTCAACTTTTTTTAGTACAGGGAACTCGCTATGCGTTCACTGGTTACCCTTTACTTGGTTCACAGTTCTAGTTATTCTTTATGTCTCATTCTACTGCTATGTTAACATATTCTGTCTGAGATGCTTTCAACAAAAGATAATTTCTTGGTTCCAGAATAGAATTTGATGTGATGGGACTTGAAAAATGGCCAATCATTAAAGCATTTGCTTTGGATGATTTTATTGCGTATGCTCTTTTGTTTCCGGCCACAACCATTCTACTGTCCAAAAGCTTTATTTTGCAGTTCTCCGCCTTTACATAACTTTTGATCTCTATAAGGTATAAACACTTTAGAAAAGACCATGTTGAAGAAAAAAACTACCTGGGAATGAAAGAGGTAAGATTATTCAGGGGTCCATGCATCCGTAAGCAGCATTATATTAATAATCTTTGGTCTCCTTTTCTTATAAGATTTTCATACTCTCGTCAACTGTTATTGGATACTAAAAAACACAGTAGACAAGACATTGAGAGGCATACGTTGGACCATGCTTGAGGACCTTGATTTTGAAGATGATATAGCACTCTTATCACATAAACATGAACATATAAAAGAGAAAAGTAGTCGACTAGACAGCACAGCAGAAATGGTGAGACAGAAAATAAAAACAAGGAAAACTAAGATCATAACAAACAGTCCAAACCAACAACCAGTGACCATAAATAATCAAACACTTGAAAATGTAGAACATTTCACATATCTTGGCAGTGTGGTTTCCCTACTGGGAGGGACAGAGAAAGCCATACAGTCAACCTGAACAAAGTTAGAGCTGCTTTTGGGAGGATGAGGCAAATCTGGAAATTCAACAGTTACTGCAGAAGAAGGAAACTCTGACTCTACAAGAGCATCATTTTGCCAGTTCTTTATGGAGCGGAATGCTGGGGAATGACTAAACAGGATGTACACAAGCTGTCCACCTTCAACCACACAAGTCTACGGAAAATTGTCAAAGTTTTCTGGCCAGATACAATCTCAAACACTAAACTACGTCAAGTCACAAACCAAGAAACTCTAGACAGTATGATAACCAAGAGAAGATGGAAATGGCTTGGCCACATTAAGAGAATGAATCCAAATACACTTGCTAAAACAGCTCTCACATGGACACCAGAGGGAAAGAGAAAAAAGGGGTACCCTAAAACAACATGTAGATGAACGAAGGCAAGTGACCTGAGTGCGGCATCTTTGACATGGAAAACTGCACTGAAGATTGCACAGGACAGGAAAGCATGGAAAGTCCTCTCTGAAGCCTGATATGCCACTAGGCGTTAAGAGAAGTGATGACTGATGATCAACTGTTAGCAATTTTCTTGACAACTGGTAAAAGGAAAAAAAATGTGATAGGGAAGGAAACAAAATATCACCAGGTATAATTCCTACTTCTTTTTCCTATTCTGATGCTGCCTTTATACACACCTGTTCCACCCTCCCCCCAGGTAAAGCATAGGCCCTCAATAAATTCACACCATTTCATCCTCTCTTGCAATCGCCTGCAGTTCTCTCCATGGTTAACCTATACTTTAGGTCTCTCTTGCTAATTCTTTTCTGCAAACATTTTTATACTCTCCCCGTATCTCTTCTGCACTATAATTCCTAGTGTAAGGCCATCCATATTACAATACTCTTAGATTATAATCCTGTAGAAGTAGTTTTATTTTCTATGGTAAACTGAGTTACAGTGATGTGCATTTTGCATTAAATATCTTCCTTCTAGTATAGCAGTTTATTTTTCATGACTTTAAAACTATTCCAAATTTACTGCACACCTAAAAACTGACCCTAAAATATGGGTGATGCATCATAACAGAACATTATAAAAGTTAAAATTGAAATTACTTCTTAAAACAATATTGTAATTATTAACAAACACATTCCCTTTACACAGCAATGAATGCAATATTAGAAATCAATAAATACAGCATTCACTAAAACTTTCATCAAGCCTTTAATCTGTCAAATACTTTTTGCCAGGCTAAAAAATAAAAAAAAGGCTACATTTAATTAACCGGACAGCATGCTCTTCTTGAATTAAAAAACAAAAAAAATGCAGGAAAACAAATACACTCAACAAACCTCTGCCACTGTAAGGAAATCCCACAATCTTACAGTTGTGAACCATGGCAATAAATGAATGTATCTTGAATTCTTCAGCTGCATCCCCTCCACCTTCATACTATAGTCATTAAAGAAATACAAATTGCTGGTTAGTGAAACTTAAAATAAAGCAAACTCATAAGAATAAACATCAATCCATAAAAATGAGCGGCAGTTAGAATTGTATATTTTTATATCAGTTGAATACAGATAAAGCCAACAGGTTTGCCTTAAGTAATCCAAATTAAAAAATTTAAAAATATATTTGCCCAAAGTAACTAAAATTTCAAAATGTTCAGATTCATCATCATCATGAGACCATAAATAACTCTCATCATTTTCTATGCCTTGCCATTCAGTATAAACATAAGAGATCCTATGAATGTTTTATTATGGGTTACTTTTCTAATTCTGAAACCCAAAATAATCTTCTTCTTCTGCATTCACTAATAAAAGAATGATTGGCAATGGTGGTGTGGTTTACAACTAGGCTGCGATATCTACACCTTTTAGCCCAACACATTCAATTTCAGCAAATCCTTAATTAACAACATTTTACAACATGCTTATTAAGGGATGTCAGCGTCCATGGCTTAGGCGGTGTGAACACCCTTTGTAAGGTACCTGGTTCCATACCAGTTGCAGGTGATTTCACAGCAGACTGCTTTGGGTTGATTCTGGCAATGGTATCGACCGCTGACCAATCAGAAAGGAATGGCAATCTAGTGAATGTAAATTGCTTAGTAAAACCAAACAGATATAAAAAAAATAATGTAGTTGGTTCAGTGTGTCCTGTAAAGGATACGCAACTAACTATTAAGCACCAGTTTGGTCTATCTCCCCCCCCCCCCCGCCCCCTTCCTCTCCCCCCCCCCCTCCCCCCCCCCACCCCCCCCGTCTCCCACCCCCTCCCCCCCTTTCCCTCTCTCTGAGGGTCTCTTGCCCACCCGCCCCCCCCCCCGACCCCTCCGCGGAGGTCCCCCCCCCCCCCCCCCCCCCCCCCCCCCCCCACTAAAAAAATTTAAATAAATTAATGGATTCTGGAACTGACATGGGGAACCAAAAATCTCGATTCAACCCACTTTATGATGAACACTAAAATACACTATAACATAAATTAAATTTATAAAAATAGATAAATCATGAAAGTAAATACCCAGTGCATACGGATCAAAATCTCAGGAAAAAAGTGACAAGCAAAAAAAGATAATTCAAATTGCTGTTTACCTCGCTTTCAGTAAGACAGTGAAACTTCACGCCAGGCCAGTGACTAATATATGGAAGAAAGCAGTTGTAGTTGATTGGGTTACAGTAAACTTCCACATGATCTGCACCAATAAGTATCATCAGATCTATATTTGAAAACAAAAATGATTACATACAATGACTACATGTATAAAAAATGTGTAATGAAAACATCAACAAAAATTAACCAAACTAAATTAAAATAAAAACAATCAGCATCTAAACTTTTCATGTTTGTTTTTTAAAGCTGCCTGTGATATGCTCAGTAAGCTGTACAATAATTATAACAATAGTGATATGAAAATGTATATAGTCAATATGTAATATAAGAGAAAACACAGACAGCATACTTCGATCACTTAACATAAATACGGCATGTAAAATAAACTTTGGAAATAACAATGGATCTCTCTCTGTCTTTCTGTCTTTCTCTCTCTCTCGCACACAGGCACCAAAATAAACACATGCACATATACAAAACACACACACACACACACACACCAGCTATACTCAAACACAGGTCCCACTATGTATTATAGTATAAAAATTTCACTTGATAATATTTGTATCTTGTCTTTTACCTGCATACCCTGGTAGTTTGTGGTATATAATGGTATCCTTTACTTCAAGTATCTTGTGTATATGATATAATTACAAATAGTTACACCCAGTAAATAAGCAGCCATTTTTGTTATGTGTGAAGCAAATAGAAGCAAATACACCCTGTTCAAACTGTATAAAATAGCTATTAAGGGGCACTTTAAGGTTTTGAAATAAACTGCTGTCCTGTAGATGGGGTAAATCTGGCCACACTACCATGTTTCCCTGAAAATAAGATTGGGTCGTAAATTAATTTTTGATTCAAAAGCTGTACTAGGGATTATTTTTGGGGATGTCTTTTTTTTCCAGATACTTTTTTTTCTTCGTGCTCATCAGCTGTAAACTCCGGCGGAAAGTTCTGGTTGTTCATCCACTTCTGGACTCTAGTCCTGTTCCATAGTCTTGTTCCAGAAACTAAGTGCTGCGTGCACATCCATTTCACAGGGCTGACTCATTTGCATGCAGACTGTTGGAGCCTTGCCTCCCAGACAGATGTACTCCGACTTTGAAGGAAGCTCCCAATTAGTCGACACTTAGAATAAATACTTTTGGGCAGGAAGTGGGTCTATTCTTGTTTTCCCCACAATGAGAACCCGAAACCCACACAGGGATTTTTCAGAAACAAAAATTTACAATTATTTTTGTACAAAATTCCGGAGGTTGATTTATGAACCACACTCATTAGTACGCACCAGTGCCATTATTTTTTGGGGTACAGCTTATATTCAATGCATTTTAAAAAATGGTGATAGAGCACAATGGTGATTCTTATTTGGGGGGGGGGGGGGGGGGGGGGGGGGGGGGGGGGGAGAACACTGTAGATATTTAAATATTAAAAATTATATGTGTGCAATAGAATCCTGATAATTAAAATGTTAAGTGTTTGCAGACAGGAATGATACTTTTTTATCAATTACTGGGTGGAAGGAAATGCAGTGTGTTGTAAAATATGATATAGTGAGTACATGCTTTATGTCAATTCATGCACAGTGCTAAGAAAATGCTTCTCATGTGTATGTTCTTCCCCCCCCCCCCCCCCCTCATTACTAGAGACATATTTTCCATTTCCATAAAAGACAACTTAGCATAAGACTGGCCATGAAAAACAAAATGACAACAAAAACTTTGTCGCAATATGAAGCATACAAATAATGGAGGGGTGGTAGTGGGGAGAGGGGGGGGGGGGGGTGAGCTTAACAGAATGGCAGAAGATTGAGTGATCTGGTGTAAATTTGTTTGATGGTCTATTCTCACTGGAGGATAAAGGGCAGACGGAAACAGACTAAAGATGCATAATATCATAAACTGAAATGGACTGGTAAGAAAATCACAAACTGAGCTTATGAATTAGAATATTTTAGTTATCTTTTTTCTTTCTTGGGAAGGAAAGGGGTGAAGGGGGGCAAATGCAATCTGTATAAAATTACGTACCACTACCGTTAAATATATATATACTAGCTGTACCCGGCCACGCGTTGCTGTAGCATAGTTTGGCTAAATGGAAATGAAAGAAAATAGAAATCGCACGTGTCTAATACAATCATTGTCTGCTCAGATATAGAGATAGTCTTTGATCTCCCCCCCCCCTACCCCTACAACTAAATCCACCTACTACCCTCTCCCTCATCAAAGGTTTTTGGAAAAGAAAGACAATGAAAATCGCACCTGTCTAATTTAGTGAATGTCACAATCATTCTCTGCACATTTATATAGAGATAGTCTGGTTTTCCAACTTTAGAACACGCACCATATAATTGTGTCTTTATATTAGTGGTCGTTTAAATGGTGCTATTAGCACAGTAACAAAAGTGGTCATTTGGTTATCACTTGCTAAAGCTGTTTGTATTTTTATAGGAGACGTAAGTAAAGCTACTACTGTACTTGTAAATAACAAAGTAAGTCGTACAAAAATTAGAATAGTGAAGGTAGCGTTAGTAAAATATAAACAATTTAAGTAAGTAATGAGAACTTAAAAATCATGTGTAAAGCTCTTCAAGTTCTCTTAAATTTCAGTCATTACCCTCTCCTCTCCCCTCTTCCACCGACTACTGCTCTCTCCCTCTTTGAAGGATTGAAAAATCATCACCTGGCGATATTCTTTTTGTTGTAACTGACATTGACATCCCTGTCCATCCGGACTAAATTGGAAGCAGGAATTGTAATAGGTAGTGAATGGGGCTAAAGTAATATTTACCGCATCATCCTTCAAGTACCAGTACAACTACTACCACAACCACCACCACAGTAGCTTCAATAATGTCACTGCTATCTGTTTTACCATCGGAGTAGACAGGGAGTCGTGAGCCAGAAGATTTGGCACCGCATGGCTAGTGCTGTCGCCATGGACTGGTTAGGTTAGGATGTATGATTTCGCTCCCCGACAGAAGAATGCCATAACCTTACCGGCGGTCTTCACATGAGAGCACTACGGTGTAACCGCCCAACCACAACTACTACTGCTGCTGCTACTTTGAATGGGTAAAGCAGTTACTGTGACTTAAAGCTCTCTCAGTAATCAGTTTGCCCCCCCCCCCCCCAAATTCACCGACTACTCTTTCTCTCATTGAAGTAGTTGAGAGGGGAAAAAAACCAATTGAAAAGCAATTAAAACAGGTAAAAATACACCAGAATTAGGAAATGAACGCTATGGTAAACAGCACAGCTTAAAATTCCAACGCAGATGAAATAATTTAATCTAAATGAAAATAAATGGAAAGCTATGAAATTTCAGCATAACCATGCAATCGAAAAGTTTAAAATGAAATCATAAGTGTGCGAAATGGTCAAATTTAATTATCAACTGGTTTACCCACAAACCTGTCCTTGTTTTGTTTGTTTTTTTTTTTTTTTAAATATATATCATTAAGGGCCATATGGCTAGTGCTGTCGCCACGACAGTGCAGGTGAGGATTTTATTTTAGCCCTAAGTGAAAAAAAAAAAAAAAAAAAAAAAAAAAAAAAATACTGCGGATTCGAACCCTGGTCTCCCTCTCAAGAGCCGAGTGTTCTAACCATTTGACCAAGCAACCACTCGATCGGAATAATGTAAAGAGAACATAACTATTTTAGATGTGTGTCCCTACTGCAGTATCCCGATTATAACATAACTCAAAACAGCAGGCAATTGTTTTCTCATAGACAGATATTCCAAATATATTAATGAAACGGCACAACAAAAGAAATCGCACGTGTCTAACAGGGTTTATGTCGCAGTCAATGTCTGCGCAGACGTCGAGATGGTCCTTGATGCTCCCCCCCCCCCCCCCCTCCTCTTTTTCCCTACCAATCCATCGGCTACTTTTCAACTCATCGAAGGATGTTTGAAAAAAAAAAAAAAAATAGAAATCGTGTCTAATATAGTTATTGTGGCAATCATTGCCTGCACAGATATAGATATAGTCTTGTTTGCTGTACCACGACCTACTCTATGTATTAGAGGAGGTGTTGGCTGCACGGCGCATGCGCAATTACTAACGTGGCTATAATTAAAAATCACTAAAATTATAAATATTAGTTTCGAATATTATGGCTTAAATTGTGGTCACCTATCTCTAACAGTGACAGGTTGAATTTCAAACCATGATGGTTCAACATCCGGCATCAAAACAAACATATCCTGAAAATTTCAGCTAAATCGGTTCATTAGTTTCCAAGTATATAGGGGGCAAACAAACACACACAACATTGATTTATATATATATATATATATATATATATATATATATATATATATATATATATATATATATACACATATATATATATATATATATATATATATATATATATATATATATATATATATATATACATATACATATATATATATATATATATATTATATATATATATATATATATATATATATATATATATATATATATATATATATATATATATATATATATTCTTCTGTCCTTTACCTTTCATTTTTTTTTTTTATTTCATGAAATTAAATAGGATGACTGTTTTGTCTATTATAATATATAGATCACAAAATGAAAACTACTATGATGTTTACTCATCACACCAAAGTCATTAAACACACGTATTTAAATTTTGTCTTTAAAAAAAAAACATTCAATAATAAAATGGGACTTACCCTCAATAATTTCATCAGCAAATCCCAACCTATAGAAATTTTAAAAACATTATAAAGTTATTTAAAAGTTATTTGCATGAAACATAATGCATTTACTTCTTCTTTTTTCTTCTTCTTCATCTTCTTCTTCTTCAGATGATGAAGATGATGATGATGATCAGTGTGGAACAGCTCTAACTTCTCTGTATTTAGAGGTTTAATAAAGTTGGTGTTGCTTATATCTGTTTGTTAATTGTGTGAGCTTTAGACATACATTCTTCTCTGTCTTCCCTTATTTCTTTTACTACTTATTAGTGTCCAGAATTTGAATCATGCAGATGAACAGACCATGCAGTTTAGCAGATATCTTTATTTCTTATAATGACACGACTTATTCTGATTCAGATTAGTATAATTTTAATGGAAAAAGATGAGTGGAGTTGAGCTGATTCAAGAACCGACATTGCAACACTTGGATCATTCCCATAAGCGCTCCATCTCCATCTTAAGCAGCCAGTGCAGATCCAATACCAATGGTGCCAATAGCAGTCTGATTATAGGTCCGTCTTGCCTTTCCTCTGAGCTTCAAGTATCGGCCAGATGCCCTCATCACCCCTTACTGCATTACTCTCACGAGACAGATGATCAATTTGCTGTTCCAAATTGTACATGTGCTCCCATAACCACGCCAGGCCTTAACCACGTCTGCATGCCACCAAGTTATGTAAAACCAGCCAGTCTGTCTGCCTGTTCAGAGAAAAGATCTAGACAATGCTTTTCACCCCTGACCTCCAAAGCAAAGTATGCCACTCTGCACGAAGCATGCCTGTCCTCACCATGCTTTCTGAGTGTTTCAACCACTAAATGTGTGTGTATCATGTTCTCTAGCCTGCTGAAAGCAGCAGTGACCCCCTCTGCCTCCATTCTTGAGCTGGATGCTGAGGGAGATGACCAACTACTTTAACCTGGGCATCAGGACAGCATCCATTTTCTAATGGACAAATGGGTGGTTACCTCTTTTGTACCAAGGCACTAACTGTACTCAATTATACATTCCTTAACTTCTGTTGTTATATTCCTCTTTTACGTTAATCCATTCTTTTCCAAATGTTAACAGACTTGTTCTCTCAAATGGCTGCATTTTTTTTTAACTCATTAGGATGCAATGAATATTACTATAAAGTACACAACTTATAGGACCGACTTGGTTTAAGAATCAAATTCTAGAACTAAAAGGGTTCATAAATATATTCTTACAAAGAATTCCAAGACCACTACATGTCAAACATGTCAGTTTTTTGGGCGCAGGTAATGAGGCATCTTTACAATAATGTAGCCCAAAATTTGGAAACTGTCTTTCTCCAAGTGATTAGCATTATTTGTGTTGTTTTTCCATTAAAGCAACGTGAGGTTATCACTACACACATGCCCACTGTTCCCTCCGACTAGTTATCATCACTTCCACTTTTGAGGCTAAGTTTTATGGAAGGGAACAGTCTGCAGTCCCTAAACAGTAATGTCATGGGAAGTGTAAGGATGGCTAGAATAGTGTTGACCACATCACTCACTTACCACTAGTTGACCACATCACCCACTGCCCACTAGTTGACCACATCACCCACTGCCCACTAGTTGACCACATCACCCACTGCCCACTAGTTGACCACATCACCCACTGCCCACTAGTTGACCACATCACCCACTGCCCACTAGTTGACCACATCACCCACTGCCCACTAGTTGACCACATCACCCACTGCCCACTAGTTGACCACATCACCCACTGCCCACTAGTTGACCACATCACCCACTGCCCACTAGTTGACCATATCAACCACTGCCCACTAGTTGACCATATCAACCACTGCCCACTAGTTGACCACATCACCCACTGCCCACTAGTTGACCACATTGCCCACTAGTTGACCACATTGCCCACTAGTTGACCACATCACCCACTGCCCACTGTTCTATAAAAAATATCACTCTACCACAATTGGGTTAAACGGCCTCCCTTGTTTACATGATGGGTGGCACTGGTCATTGTCATTCTGTGTACATGTATAATATCTTTGGTACCATAAACCCATCTTCTTCAGAACAACTTTGCTTTCACTAAACTCTATCCTGTATAAAGTATCTGCACAAAATGGTGTTTCTCATGAGAACTTGCCTCATGGATTTAAAGTTGTCACGAGAAGGAAATTCTGGGAAAATGCATTTTCTTTACATGTGAGAGAGAGTAATGTTATCTGTTGTGATAATTTTTTTTGGAGAACATGAATATTCTAATTTCCAGTAATAATACAAATTTGCTTGAAGTTTTCTGTCTCAAAACACAATGATGCTGAGTGTTAAGATCATCAAAATGTTAATAAAACATTACCACAAACTAAACCACAAACCTGTGTTACTAGAACAGCATGAAAATGATTACCAGATTATCTATACAGATACACAGTCACATAATAATGAAAAGGAATTGTCAAAGTAATAATGTACAAAATAAAATACACTAACATCCTTGTAAAAATTACTGCCTACTTGTAGTTTCAGTTAAAACTTGTCAACTCATAGTAAGATATTTAGCTGTTGCAATGCAAAGCATAAAATTTAAATTCATACTTAAACACTCGACTTGCATAAACTTGCAAACAATGTATAACACACAATACAATTATTTGTACTTATGACAGCATACACCGCCCTACACTCTGGAAGCTACTCACAATCTATGGTTTCCAAGATAAATATGTCAATATTATAAAGGCCTTCTACACCGATTCCCGCTGCCTTGTTAGAACGGAATCTGGTAACTCTGATTGGTTCCCAGTAGAAACAGGCGTGAAACAAGGATGTGTCTTGTCACCGATGCTTTTCGGAATAGCACTCGATTGGGTCATGCACAAATGCACACAGGACACACATCTAGGCATCAAATGGGTCGACAAAGTTCTCGAAGATCTTGACTTTGCTGACGACCTAGCACTCCTGAGCACAACACATCTAGAAGCTCAGGAAAAAATGGACCGCCTCCAGAATATTTCAAGCCAAATCGGCCTTCAGGTCAACGCAGCCAAAACGAAAATCATCGATCTTACCAACGAGTCGAAAGACATCAAAACTAAAGGATATTGTTCTTGAAAAAATCACCAGCTTCACATACTTAGGGAGCAAGATAACCTCTGCGGGAGATACAACATCAGAAATAACGACTCGAATCGCGTTAGCATCAAGTGCCTTTAACAAACTGTCAAACATTTGGAAGTCAAGATCACTCAGCAACAACACGAAACTTAAGGTCTTCAATTCCTGTGTGATCCCAGTGCTAACTTATGGTTGTGAGAGTTGGAAATCATCAGTATCAATCGATAAGAAACTAGTCGCTTTCGAGAATAGATGCCTCCGAAAGCTATTGAATGTTCACTGGTCGGACTTTAGGTCCAATACATCTATAAGACAGGAAACAAAACAAAGAGAGGTGTCTGATTTTATTAGAATGCGTCGCTGGAATTACATCGGTCACGTACTCAGAATGGACATACAGAGACTTCCCCACCAAGCCTTCATATGGTCACCAGAGGGTAAAAGAAAACAGGGAAGACCAAAAGAAACTCTCCGTAGAACCATCACAAGAGAGAGCTCAACCATGGGTCTCAGTCGCACTCAAGACCTACATCAAGTGGCAACGAACCGACAGACGTGGAAAGCTATGACCTCTGCCCTATGCGCCATCTTTGGCACAAGAGGAATAACTAACTAACTAATGATATACAAGGGGTGCTGAGAAAGTAATGCACCACATTGATTTTCGCAGGAACTATTTATTCAAAAAGCATAAAATGTGTACACAATATACACATATACGTCAAGTAAACATCTGTATTATTCCGCAAAATTCCTATCCGCTTGTAGGGCTAAATATTTAAATTAGCTTTATGTACTGTATTCCTTACCTCTCTAATTCATCTTTTCGAGTGTCAAAGAACCCAAACAAAAGATAATTTAGAAGCTCATACATTCCTTCATTATAGTGACTGTCAATGCCTGTATTTGAAAACATAATTTAGGTAATTTTAAAATGGTTGTGTATTTTATATAACATTCTATCAGCATTTTAAAGAAAAAAATATCTTAAACTTTGTTATTTTTTTGGGTGTATAACCCTCTGGAGATGACGCTACCAAAATATGGGCCTAACACAAAGTAGCCAAAAAGATGGCTGGGCTGATTGGTCAGCCCTGTGTAATAAAAGCCTTGAGTTTGGCTGGCAGGTTTTCGTACAAGCCAGTCAGATTGCTTCTCGCATTTTTTGCATATGTGGGCTGTTTAATGACTGCTTTCAAGAAAGTTTGATGTGTTCTGTCATTTTACAGAGATTTTTTTGTGTGGACTTACCTGTGCCTAACGACGGCAAAAAAGCCTGTTGCGTCATAGCAACTTAAACATAGCAGAAGGAATGAAAATGAGTTGAACCATGTGTCAGAAGTGCCTAACGACCTCTATAGGCCTTATTTCCCAAAAACACAAGTCTTAGGACTTATTCAGGCTTCATCCATAAAAAATTCAACCTAATTTTTCAGGTTAGTCATGTTTGATTCCAATTTTTTTTTTAATGCCTGCATAAGTTATGCAAATCATAATAGTTAATTTGTATTAACATGGAGATTTCAGTTTGATTCCTACATATTCTGTTAGTTCATTCATTTTTCTCCCCGATTATATATAGTTTTGTATATGTTAATTACGCACTTCATTTTTTTAAAATAATTTTGTGTGTGTAAATTAAAAGAACTCTTCCCTGAAGGCTTCGTCTTTTTGGCACTGAAACTCCAAAAAGCTCCGTCTCCAAAGGGTTAAATATGGTCAAGATAAATCTACTACTCTGACTGACTAACTGACTTTCTACCCCACTAGGACATCACACAAGCGATAAACACCAGATGACACAAAGTGCCACCATGTGGATGAGGATAACTGTGGAGAGGTCCCAGAAACCGCGTTCAGACAATTGGCCATATTTATGGCCTGCCTATATTGCGGCCCCTGACAAAAGCCAGAGTGGGGCTTCAAATAACAGAAAATTGTGTCCTAAAAAGGACGTAAGGAATCGACAATTATCTACTACTCTGTGTTGCCAGTTCACTTCTCTTGATGTCTTATTACTGTTTAATTGTGGATACATTACAAATATAAAAAAATTGTAATAGCACCCAATATATATACATATATGCGTGTGTGTGTGTAAATATTATATATATATATATATATATATATATATGTATGTATACATGTGTCAGCTAGAAGTTTGAAAAATAAAAGAAGACAACTAAGATAAGACCGGCTGAGATAGAGCCTAGGTAAGTCATGTTGTCTCCAAATGTTTTTGGTAATTTTTTGTCAACAGACTCTAATACAATGTCCAGGTGAAGAAACTGGCTATATAAAAAGACAAAGCTCTTTGTGAACTCTTTCAATCACAGCAGATTCTGAGACATCCCCATTATCATGCTTTTTTTTTTTAAAGTTTAATATATAGACCATCTACAAAAAGCAAAGATGTTGTCATTATTAATCTGCTCTGACCAAGAGTAGAAAGCAGAACAAAATATTATGTAATGTTTATGATTAAAGGAGAAGAGTCAGTTATACATCACACATTATTTGGGACTGAAAGAGTCAAAGGATAAGGATGAGAAAAAAAATGCAAGAAAAGTGTGCAAGAGGATGATAATGTTACATGTGCATAGTAGACATCATCCGACTGACTAGAGAAAGCTTTATATGTGCTTAAAAAGAAACAAGATAGAGGGTATTAATGGCTTTTTACAGTCTACCTTTAATGTGTAGACAGCACCTGATAATGATGATGATGTTACTAAATGCCGCAATACTACACTGTTTCATAATCTCAGGCATAGAAAAGTAGTAAGTAAAGGACCCTTTCATACCATGGTGCATCATGTATATGGTGCCAAATCCATATTTGTATACTCTACGTCAATACTTGATGAGTGACTGACCAGTATACCGACTATCTTTACTTCCCAGGACATTTCCTGGTTTGCATATTTGGCTATATGTCCCCAAGGGGTCAGTAAATTAATAAAACATTTATCCCACTGCAGATTAAACCCAAGATCTTCCTTCTCTTTCTCTTTTACCACTACAGGTGTTAAGGGAGAATATTGTACTGCTTCTTGTTCTTCTGGTCGCATCAACCATAGATACATCGTGCTGTTGTAGAGTTTCTCTCATGTTATCCGTCCATCTTGTTCTTGCTCTACCTTGTACTTTAGTGTACAGTGTATGCCTTGAATGGTATGGCATCACAAGACATTTTCTTCAAGTGGGCAAACCATTTGATTTGTTGCATTTGTATGTAATTTAGAATTGGTTCTGTATTGACTTTTCTTCTTATGACCTCATTCCTGATGTTATCTCTTCTGGTCATTCCTGCAGTTGGTAATTTTCTTTTCTGGTTTGTTGTGAGTGACCATGTCCGGGAGTGGTAGCATAGGCTGGTCTGTTTATATCTCACTGTAATATTTGTAGTGGTAATACAACCACTGCAGGCTTGCTAGGCCTGTCACAAATTCACCAGAGCCCTATTGGCCAGGATGTTTCAGGGTGACCAAGACGGACTAAATGACTACCATAGTGGCCCTGTGGCATAAGTACACACCATACTTTGCCCAATAATAGCAATCCCTTACTTTGTCCTGTTTACCCCCCTCTCACAATGCGGACATGGAGTTGGACTTTGAGACGCTGTGAACTATAGTGATTCAGAGATATGCGGAACAATTATACATGTACTTTTTTTTTTTATATGTTGATGTATCACTGGTCACACTCAGGAGAATGCAAATATGCTACATGCTTGTAATTTCTAGAATATCATTTAAATGAAAGAAAACATTTTTTTTTAAACTTTCAAACAAAACAAAAAACTACCTGCAATACACATAATTCCATCTATGTCAGGTGTTCCCACTTTGCATCCGCTTAAAATGTTTTGCACACGTCTTAGTCTTGCTGCACTAGAAATTAAACAGAATGTACATCATTAATTATTTTTTTCCTCCCAAGTAAAGCATTATGTTGGACTTGCATTTCTCATGTTTCGACAAGATTGCATATACTTCTCCATGTGGCTCCGCCATTTCTGGAAGCCTTTTGAAAAGGCATTTTTAGAAACAGATCCCAATTCAGTTGTCATATTCTGCTTAACTCTTTCAGGCTCATGAATTTTGACAGACTTGGCCCACATTAATTTCCTTTTACAGAAATATCAGTGGGGGTGGTGTACAAGAAAGGCAATAGAGAATGTAATATACTTCTAATCTCCATAAAAGTTTGTATTTCTTTTCAGAGAAATGAATGCACATTTTAAATCTGATGATAAGTGTATGTTTAATTTTGTTATAGTTAGTAGAAAAGAAGAATTCAGCAGGTGTGAATTTCTCAACAACAACATTTTACAAATGTGTCACTTACCATGGTTAAGCAGGCACAAGAATAGTGAATATCCAAATTTGAGAACAAAACTTCAAAGTTTGTTCAATTTTCTAACAAATTCCAAAGTTATGATAAGTTTCTTGGTTAGTTTAGCACTCAGAGGTTAGCACTTCAAGTTCTCACAGACTACTGAGCAAAATTTCAGAGAAAAAAACGCAGAAAATGGGCCATTACCCACACACTATTTACTATTCACTTTGTACAGTTATATGCAGACTGGAGTTGCAATGATTTCAATGTAGCTTAGCCATAGTATAGTACTGTCTTTTTGTTTGCAGCACTTTCCTTCTCTTACACCATAAATACGGTAGCAATGGGACACTTGTCTGTGTAAACTCATCAGAATCGCTAGATTCCCAACAGCTGATCGCTCAGCTTCGCTAGTGAAAATTCACTGTCCGAATCACTTTCCGAAAAATCTAAATTTTTATTATCATTATCAGAATTAAAAACATCTGACTAAAACAATTTCAGAGCTTCGGCCGCAGAAAGACGCATTCTGCAACATATGGTTGGAACATTTGTATTCATGGCACTCAAAAACAAACTTAGAAAATGCACTGTTGAAAAAGAATGTAGCTATGAATCTGATGAATCTATGCATGTGTGGCTTAGGATATGGATTTTGTTGAAAGGAAATCGTTAAAGTGACTTTTCCCGGAATACTTTAATCGTAGTTCTGAACATTAGAAACAAGTATGGAGCCAGGTGTGAAGCAATATGTACGGGACACACGACTGACGATGACAGCGTTGTTTGGGCAAAACGGAACTCCTCAATCAACGCTCACACCCTTGCTCGGGCCTTAATATATTCTTATCGCTCAAACTGGGTCTCTGTCAGTATTATATTCATCATGAGAAACAGTTCAAACTTACAGTCATGTCTAAAGAGTATGAGTTAACAAACCAGAGAAATGTTGTATCTGGCAAATTAAAATCGTATTATGATGTGAAAAAGGAAATGTTGTTTTGTCATAAATATAGTGTATTGAAGCAACGATTATTCCAAGCTAACAAGTAAGTTCTGCAATATCTGTGTGTAAGTTCTGTAATGCCTATGGGCTAGGCTTTTTTTTTTGCTATTGTAAAGTATCTGGAAAAAAAAAAGGTTTTGGGTGCACATCTCAAATAGCCTATTTCCCCGTGTGGGTTCCGGGGCCCTATTGTGGGGAAAACAAGAATAGACCCACTGCCTCCCCAAAAGCATGTCGTAAGAGTCGACTAACTGGGGAGCTTCCTTTGAAGTCGGAGTGCATCTGCCTGAGAGGCAAGGAACCAGCAGTCTGCATTCAATTGAATCAGATCTGTAAAACTGATGCACATGCAACACTCAGGTTCTGGAGCATGACTGCAGTTCAGTAGTGGACGAACAACCAGAACTTTACGCCAGAGTGTACAGCTGGTGAACACAAAGAAGAAGAAGAAATAGCCTATTAGAGTAGCACTGAAAAAAATTATGTGTAAAAAAAAAAAAGTGCCGGATCTGCACACCATTGCATACCACCAACAAAAAAACAGCCATGTCCATAATTTCTTAGACCGTGACACAATAGATCTCAAGAAATAAATTTACTGAACATAATCTTGTGACTGAGAAGGGCAATGAGGAAAAAAGGTGGCATGGGGGGACAACATTAAATTTTTACCCAATTGAAGCATTGGTTATGATAAAATAGTTTGGCACTCCCTGCAAGAGCGACCCTAAGAGACGCAATGCACTGTAAATTAACATTTTAACTGTAAGTGCAGACCATAAAGGACGTAATCCAATGTTTTTGTAAGTTCACATATTCATAATATGTATGAGATTAGGGTTAGGCTAACCCTAACACTAAGGTTAGTTGTGTAGCCTTTACAGGACGTTGCAGAACTAACCCCAGCAGCCCCTGGCTGTTGTGTGGTTTCTCTAGGCAAATTTACGTCAAGTAGTTTGCCATTGCTTTCTTGACGGTTGGCCCCCCTGATACCACTGTCGAAACAAACGCAAGTCGCATGGCCCGCAGCTGGGATCGAACCCAACACTAAGGTGAAGCAATATTAAATATTACAGGACATTATTATGTGAACATACACAAACTATGTCCTGTATGGTCGCCGTCAAGAAACAATAGACTGCGTTCCCTTAGGGTCGCCCTCAGCGTTAAAAGTTGTGCGAATGATTCATGGTGGGAAAAAAATAGGCTCTCCTGTCAACTACGGCCGGTAGACAACAGTAGACGGCCGGTTAGTCAGAGTTCTGTCCCCTGGCTGCAGTGCAATTATGGACTGGAGAAGGCACGAAACAACCAACAAAGTGAGGTTGACGTGCCTGGCAGAACCCGCGCTGCGCGACTCAAATTAGCGACCGCGTTCAATTACCGCTTCTTGCGACGCATTACGGAGTGGATTAGAGGGAAGGAAACAAGTGACATAATTACTGTGTGTTGGCGATAGACAGCGTGCAGTGCCCTACTGTCATCATACCGTTAGGGTGTGGGTTAGGGTTTGGGTTAGGGGTAGGGTTTGGGTTAGGTTTAGGGTTAGGGTTAGGGTTTAGGGGTAGGGTTAGAGTTAGGGTTTGGGTTGCGACGTTAAGTTTCTGCGAAGACGAGATGTGGCGACACTAACCGTAATGCTAACCCAAACCCTAACACTAACCCTACACCTAACCTAAACCCTACCCCTAACCCTAACCGTATGATGACAGCAGGTCACTGCACACTGTCTATCGCCAACACACAGTAATTATGTCATTTGATTCGTGTCTTCTCCAGTCCGTAATTGCACTGCAGCCAAGGGACAGAACTCCGACTAACCGGCTGTCAAATGTTGTCTACCGGCCGTAGTTTACAGGATAGCCAAAAAATAAAATAGTACCTTGTTCATTTTTTTCCCCGTTAATTAATTTAATTCTTTCAGAAACCTGTTTAATCAACAGGATGATGCATGTGCATGCAGTTATTATAATACTGAACAGACGTGATATTATACAAGTTAAGAACAACTTATCTATACTTTAATTAAATGGCAGCTAGTTACTGTTGTTGGCTGGCTGTAGTTTTCGGGGTTACTGGCGGCGTCATTAGTAACCAACGTACTGTTGCAACTAATTCTAACAAAAATGCTAGTAACTCTACAAAATGCAAACGATTTACCTCACAGTCTGTGAAAACGTTTCAATTTTTATATGCCTTCTTGAAGAAGATGGCATTTTCATTTTGTGTAAAGACATGCTTGTAAAATAACGGTCGAACCGTCAGTTCAGAACAACTCTACAGCTCCGGCTCCGTATTCTGGTTGTTTGTAATCGTTTGTGTATCGACAGCTTGATTTTATTTTGTAATCGATTTCTAGAAAGTCTGATTTAAATTTAATATTCATATCCATGTTGATGATAGGACTATGTTAATGTGTTGTAGGTCTAAATAACCACAATTTGAAGTACAATTCACGTCGGGTTGCTCTTCGACTGGGCTCATGGACCTTAGAACCATACCATACAGTTTGGCCCCAGGACTGACTGCCACAGGGAACCGCCATCTCGCCTGTGCTCTTTAACGTGTATACGAGCAAGATTACAAGCATAGAAGCACCAGGAGTTAGAAGGATACTGACTTTTGCTGATGATAAACTTGCATAAAGGCAGGGGGGAAGAGAGGGAACAAACAGCCCTAGAGCTACAAGTGACAGTAGTCAAAGTGACTGAGTGGTGTTCAGAAATGAGGGCTGTCGTCCACCCGGAAAAGGGGTCTGTTTTGTGGAGTTCTCTGGACAACAGGATCGTTAAAGCTAATGTCCCAAGTATCACAATAGATGGTAGAAACATCAACAGAGAGAGCAAACTGAAGTATCTGAGAATTATATTTGGCAGGAGCCTGTCATTTAAGGACCATGTGTAAAGTGTTGTGACAAGATGCCAAAAAAGACTTGGTGCACTATGGCTCCAATTGACATAGAGCAGAGAATGCTTTTCACACTATATCAGCACCTGATCCTGTCAGTGGCCTGGGAATGCTTACCGTCTCAAAGATCCGGATGGACAAACTAGAGCGCATACAGAACGCAGCAATGCGGGTCATTCTGAGTTGCACCAGAGACACCCCAGTGGTGTGTATGCGATACATCCTTGGTTTGCCGACTGTTGCAGGTAGGCACAAGGTGCTGCAGGTGACGTCATATCTTAGGGTAGCTGCAGACACAGACCACCCTTTGCACGAAGCTCTTGGTGCAGTTAAAGGTCAGCGGCTGATAAGAGGGAAGTCATGGATGGCTCAGGCAGAAGACACAATCAGACAGGTTTGCATCCTTGAGAACATCAAGCGAGGAGAGGAGTGGGTCAAAGTGCCTACTGAACGATCAGACTTGTGTAGGGTCATAATCACACCGAGACGGGAATGCAGAGATTGGTCAGCAGGTGCCACAGAGGTGGAAATTCAGTAATTTATTCAAGATAATGCTAGCTCAGAAG